CGCATAACGATCACCTCCGAATGCGACCAATTATGTAAGTGTATTTATGTAAGTGCGTTTGTACGTGTATGTTTGGGGGTCTGAAATGGACTAATCTACTTCACAATATTCCTTATGGGAACAAATTCGGTCAGTACTGGCACCTGAACATACTTCTGGAGTGAAAAAATATCGTTAACCGGGGGTCCACTGTATTAACGAAATATTGAAGTATCTTGTTTTGCTGCCTGAGAGCTGAGAATGGATTAATTGCATTTCAATTAATTTAAATCAGGAAAATTGACTGCAAACGAGCAAATACAGATGCGAGCAAGGTTACTGAATGGATTAAACTCGTAAGCAGAGGTTCCACTGTATATAAAATTTGCAATAACTTTAAAACACTTGAAACTTTGGAAAGTTACCAGACATAATCATAAGAGAGACAAGGCTCACAGAGGAAGTAAACAGAGTGGACGGGTGGTGCAGAGATGCTGTAATAGCGAATCAGGAGCTGTGTAAACAAATTTTTGGGTATACAGTAGGACTACTGTGTCTATGGGTTTGGTTTCTGCAGTCTACAGTGGCCTGAAAATAACTATTAATTTTGTTTAACCCTTTGACTGTCGAGACCCCAAAGCTTTGTGTGTGTGTCTGTGTTGCAAAATATTCGAAAAAAAATTATTTTTTTCTCATGAAATGATAGAGAACCTTTTCCCGATGGTAATGACACCAAAAGCACAAAACTTACTTGATAACTTATGGAATTACGCTCTTGTAAAGTTATCAATCTCCGCTATATATACGCATCGGCAATTTTGCCCAATTTGAGCCCTATTTCAGCCAATACCATTGTTCCAGTCAACCAAATTCATAGCTATTTCTTTAGAACTCCATTTGTTCTATCAATTGAGTAAAAGAAACTGCCCATTTACTGATTTCAACTACCCAATAGAGTGGTCAGAAATTTGCACTTTGACCAATTTCGTGCAAATTAAAAATGATGCCAATTTCAAAATAGGGTCCAGAATAAACATGGCAGACATTCCTGGCACTAAAATAACATTTTTCCTGTTCATTAGTTATGTCTCCAGGCCCCTCATATATTGCTCTTGCTTTCTATTTTGAATTTTTATTCACACAAAATATAGATGATTTACTGTTATGAAGACTACTGCATTATTGTAATAGGTGTATAAATAATGTCAACCAATTCATGACTGCATATTAGACTGGCCAGTTGGACATATATTGGATGGTGACATCATTTGTTTACTCTTGAACATCGGCACTAATCGAACATTTCCGCTAATTTGAGCTCAATTTCAAGGTTCTTTTCATTGTCAAACCAATCAAAATCATCTCTACTTGTGTAATATATCTTCCATTCTATCAAATGAGACCAAGAAAATGAGAATACAACCATAATTACTTTAAGAAAATACACCTCAAAGTTGGTGTTTTAATTCAAATACAAGGTTGGAGTTTTTTTTTTCTCATTATGCACTGCGTGCTGCAGGATTTTTTTATACTGTGCACACTGACCACAGACCCATTCTCTCACATGTGGGCCTACCAGCTTTCTTCCGCTTGATGTGAAGCCGCTAGAATTTTGGTCTATTAATAAGTCACCAACACTGGCTAATAAGACGTATACTATATACAATACCAACAGTCAAGGGGTTAATAATGGACCCAGAGCACCAAAGTACTTCCCTAATTCTCCACTTATTGTGTGTAATTTATCAATTAAACTTTATCACAGTTATGCATGTAAATGAAAAACAACTTATATATATGTACATGTATAGGGTTTGCTACTATCCACAGTTTCGGGTATCCACGGTAGGCATTGGAATGTACCCCTCACGGATAAGGGGGTTCTACTGCAATTTGAAATGTTCATATTAGTGAAGAACCATAAAGCGAACTGCCATAAAGCGGGGCCCTCCAGTAGTTGCCCTCCCAACACAACATGTGACACTACCAGATGCTCTACCAACACCAGTTGTAGCATCACCAGAACTGACACCACCAGTCGCTCTGCCAGTAAAGATACACAATATTACTATAAGTTGTGTGATATGCCATTAAAGGCTATCACCATGTTCCAAGGAATATCATACCTTGAAACAATTCTAATATAATAATTCCCTGTACATTGTGTTGGAAGGCAAAAATTTTTTTTATTATAATCAAGATAAAACATTGGAACAAATTTATAACAAATATCAAAATTGTGGACATAGTGCTATGTGCTTCTCCATCCATTTCCAACACTTAGATCCCCTGAAAAACATTTGTTGCTATTACAAGATGTTGTATATACAGTGATACCTCGCATATCTGGCCTGTCATTATCTGAACCTCACCAATATCCGAATAGGCCCTGGGAAACATCCAAGCAGCTGTTCGAATATCGCAGAAGGCTGAATCAAACTTGGCGTGCACTTTAGTGTACCAGTTGGCCGCTAGGAGCTGCACTCTTTGCCACCCCAGCCACCCACTGTTCTCAGTCTCGCTATTGTCTCCTAACCGAACAGGTGCACATAATGGCAGTGCAGTCCGGAAGCGAGTTTGTGCCCTTTGTGGGGATTCTACTCCTCCTTTTGGCATTATTACAGATATGTTTTGTCCAAGCTATCTCGTGTATGGCACCAAATAGGGCCAGAAATGTGCTTACTCTAGAAAAAGAGGGAAATATTGTCAAACATGGATGCAGGGTGGTGCAAGGCTGAGGAAAAAACTACAGAAGACGACATGAAGGACTGGCTAGTGTATGACGAAGATAACCCTGGTGTGCAATCTCTGATGGATGCAGAGAGTGCAGAATCAGTGTTGCACCCAGAACATTTCGAAAGTGACAACAGTGACGACCCAATGCCTCCTAGACCAAAAACTTCAGCAGCAAGGGCAGGTGTTGAAAAACTTTTGGAGTATTTGGGACATCTACTGTCCACAGCCCATTTGAAAAGTTATGGTCCTGTGGTCTGTGAAATCTGGGAGGCTGTTATTTGAGCCCAGAGTGTTTGGTCCCACTGCCAGATGACACTGGACTCATTTTTTAAACCTACAACGCCATCGCCGATGGCGATATGATGGGGTATGGATGGTGATATGATGGTACGAATGCGCATTTTCCCCATTATGTAAGTGTATTTATGTAAGTGCGTTTGTACGTGTATGTTTGGGGGTCTGAAGTGGACTAATCTACTTCACAATATTCCTTATGGGAACAAATTCGGTCAGTACTGGCACCTGAACATACTTCTGGAGTGAAAAAATATCGTTAACCGGGGGTCCACTGTATTTATGTATTTTTTTAACACGGTGGCTGTCTCTCACTGGGGTAGGATGATTTGAAAAAGAAGAAACGCTTTCACCATCACTGTCATGCCAGAGGCGTGCTGATACTACAGTTTAGATGCCCTTCCAAATTGCAATATCCTTCCTGGAGGGAGAGTGTGAAGGAAGCTTTAAGCAGTAGGGGCCCGATCATCCAGCATGGATTTGTGTGTATGTTTGATTGGACCGAGTGTAGACAAGATGATTTGACATGCTGTTAAAGTGCAAACAAGGTAATAATTATGATAGGATTCAGGGAAAACTGCTTAGCCAAACTTAATTCCTGAACTCTAAAGTAGGGTTGGGGATACTATTACAGTTTTTAAGAGTTATTTGAACTACGATGTGTCTATGCACTTCTGGCAAGACAGCTAATGAATGAATGACGGTTAATGTGTTTCCTTTACTTCTGAATCACCATACCCAGTGGGAAACAACCATCAGTCAAAAAAAAATCTGAAGGGTTTTCTCCACTCTAGCAGGATACTTCAAAACATGTATCATTTATTAAAAAATGAGAAAACTCTCAACAAAGCCAAATATTGTATACAAAAGGTCTTCTACCAATATGGTGTTTCAGCTTAACAGTATCATTAGTGTTTCAATACATTAATTAAAACAGACTGCAGTTTTGTGGAGTGTATTACTTGCACAATACTCTTAACAATGGTTCATATTCCTCATTAAGTGATTGCTCCATTTTTAGTATACAATTAAATGCATAAGCACACTAAATAACACTGACTGCAAGATATTAAGATCAATTTCTATAGAAACTGCATGTAAAGACTTAAGAAGTAGATAATGTGAGCTGTGTAAAAGTGCCAGAAAAAAGCAAGATAAATTAAAGCTTTAATATTATTGCTAAACATTTTCCCATGTCAGCTACATGTATTAGGTGACAAGTGAATGAAGCAAACTACTGTTAATAACAGCATATAAACAATGAGGTTACATCAGGTGGAAGAACAAAATGTGGAAGCATGCACACGAGAATTGCATCACTGGATCAGTCTTCTAAGACATGTGCCTGACACTGTGACTGGTGATTTTATGCAGAAATCAGTTACTCTTATTATGGCAGTTAATTAATTTGCTTGTCTAAAAATTCAGTGCTCATCAGAAACACACACACTGAGTACAATAGCCATTATCATCAACCCATGGAAAACTGGTATTGAATGCTTATCTTTTGTTAATGCATGGTTGTTTACACACACATACGCTGCCAACTTCCTATAATGAAAAAGACTGAAGAAGAGGGCTATAAAATTAAATGGTGTCATGTACTCTGTAAAAATGAAAATTCTGTATTACCCCACTCAGTAAATTCATGTGCCTCATGCATGTTAGACATGACACAGCACACTTGAACTAATCCAAATAAAGTGTAAACCCAAAATCAATATTTTTAAGTAGGATTGACATTTTGTGAGAGTTATACACAAACATGAAAATAAAGGAATTTCATCAACCTATTGTGGCAAAAATAGTTGGCAGTGTATAAAGCAATTTAACCATGAATTTAGAAGAGCTTAAAAGATTTTCCAATTAAGATGAGTAGAAATTTTCTTGTTTCTCACAATAATTCTGATATGAAACATTTTAACTGGGTTGCTCATGGCTATTCAGTGAACACAAACGTTTTCCCATGGTCTGAGATGTAACAGAGATACCTTCATTATCCAGTGTATCAAAGAACGGTTCTGGGAGAGGTGGACTCTCACTCTCCTCTGCAAGAGCTTCCTGTGTGACTATGCCTTCATCTATTGCCTCGGCTACATCTGCAGCTCCTTCATTACCATCTATATATCAGGATAAATTACTGTCATGCAATGCTTTATAAATATAAACTAGCATTCGGGACTCACTATTATCCTTATTAATAATTATTTAAGATCAAGACAAATGTGACTCGTTTATTCCCACCTTCCAAAAAACACCCTTTATAACTTAAACATATGCCTGAAGGCTACTGTAAGTAAAATAGTAATCTACTAAAAGTGCCTAAAATCCTCTTTGAATTCACAGGTACTGTGCCAAAGTTCTTTTTCTTTAAATGTTGCTAAAATAAAAAAAATATACAATACCAATATCTAATTAAATTTTAAAGAATAAAAAAGAATAAAGGGGTGATTTTTAAGTATAGACCTAAATTTATATGTAGTCAGGGGATCTTTTACTTGTTCAGGTAGTGAATTCCATATCTTTGGGCCCTTTATGTGCATGCATTTCTGCATAGTGTGAGACTGACAAGAGGGATGTCAAAGAGTGCCTTGTGCCTTGTATTGTGACTATGCATTCTGTTGTAGCTATCAAGAAGTTTAAGCAGAGGGTTATATTGGAGTTTAATGTTCTGTATATATATGAGTGTATGTCTTGTATATTTAATAGGTTCAGGGTTCTGAAAAGTAGTGGTGTGTGCTGTCTAGCACAAGAGCTGGTAATCATCTGCACAACAGCTTTTTGTTGGATTATTAAAGGTGTGACGTGGTTGGCTGTGGTTGATCCCCAGGCACAAATACCATACGTGATGTAGGGGTATATTAAAGAGTAGTATAAGGTAAGGAGTGTTGTTTGGGGTACACAGTACCATATCTTGGAAAGGATGCCTACTGATTTGGAAATTTCTTGAATATATGCTGGATTTTTTTTTTTTTTCAACAAGTCAGCCATCTCCCACCAAGGCAGGGTGACCCAAAAAAGAAAGAAAATCCCCAAAAAGAAAACACTTTCATCATCATTCAACACTTTCACCTCACTCACACATAATCACTGTTTTTGCAGAGGTGCTCAGAACACAACAGTTTACAAGCATATACGTATAAACATACACAACTTATCTCTCCAAACTGCTAATATCCCGAAACCCCTCCTTTAGAGTGCAGGCACTGTACTTCCCACTTCCAGGACTCAAGTCCGGCTATATAAAAAGAACTGGCTTCCCTGAATCCCTTCACTAAATATTACCCTGCTTACACTCCAACAGATCGTCAGGTCCCAAATACCATTCGTCTCCACTCACTCCTATCGAACACGCTCATGCACGCCTGCTGGAAGTCCAAGCCCCTCGCCCACAAAACCTCCCTTACCCCTTCCTTCCAACCTTTTCAAGGACGACCCCTACCCCGCCTTCCTTCTCCTACAGATTTAAATGCTCTCCATGTCATTCTACTTTGGTCCATTCTCTCTAAATGACCAAACCACCTCAACAACCCCTCTTCAGCCCTCTCACTAATACTTTTATTAACTCCACACCTCCTAATTTCCACACTCCGAATTTTCTGCATAATATTTACACCACACATTGCCCTTAGACAGGACATCTCCACTGCCTCCAACCGCCTCCTCGCTGCTGCATTCACAACCCAAGCTTCACACTCATATAAGTGTTGGTACTACTATACTTTCATACATTCCCTTCTTTGCCTCCATAGATAATGGTTTTTGACTCCACATACACCTCAACGCACCACTCACCTTTTTTCCCTCATCAATTCTATGATTAACCTCATCCTTCATAAATCCATCCACCGACACGTCAACTCTCAAGTATCTGAAAACATTCACTTCTTCCATACTCCTCCTCCCCAATTTGATATCAAAATTTTTCTTTATCTAAATCATTTGATGCCCTCATCACCTTACTCTTTTCTATGTTCACTTTCAACTTCCTACCTTTACACACACTCCCAAACTCATTCACTAACCTTCGCAATTTTTCTTTAGAATCTCCCTTAAGCACAGTATCATCAGCAAAAAGTAACTGTGTCAATTCCCATTTTGTATTTGATTCCCCATAATTTAATCCCACCCCTCTCCCAAACACCCTAGCATTTACTTCTTTTACAACCTCATCTATAAATATATTAAACAACCATGGTGACATTACACATCCCTGTCTAAGACCTACTTTTACCGGGAAGTAGTCTCCCTCTCTTCTACACACCCTAACCTGAGCCTCACTATCCTCATAAAAACTCTTTACAGCATTTAGTAACTTACCACCTATTCCACATACTTGCAAAATCTGCCACATTGCTCCCCTATCCACTCTATCATATGCCTTTTCTAAATCCATAAATGCAATAAAAACTTCCCTACCTTTATCTAAATACTGTTCACATATATGCTTCAATGTAAATACTTGATCTACACATCCCCTACCCACTCTGAAACCTCCTTGCTCATCCGCAATCCTACATTCTGTCTTACCTCTAATTCTTTCAATTATGACCCTACCGCACACTTTTCCTGGTATACTTGGTAAACTTATTCCTCTATAATTTTTACAATTTCTTTTGTCCCCCTTCCCTTTATATAAAGGGACTATACATGCTCTCTGCCAATCCCTAGGTACCTTCCCCTCTTTCATACATTTATTAAACAAAAGTACCAACCACTCCAACACTATATCCCCCCCTGCTTTTAACATTTCTGGCATGATCCCATCAGTTCCAGCTGCTTTACCCCCTTTCATTCTACATAATGCCTCACGGACCTCTCCCACACTTACATTCTGCTCTTCTTCACTCCTAAAAGATGGTATACCTCCCTGGCCAGTGCATGAAATTACCGCCTCCCTTTCTTCCTCAACATTTAAACATTCCTCAAAATATTCTCGCCATCTACCTAGTACCTCCCTCTCCCCATCTACTAACTCCCCTACTCTGTTTTTAACTGACAAATCCATATGTTCCCTAGGCCTTCTTAACTTATTTAACTCATTCCAAATTTTTTTCTTATTTTCATTAAAATTTCTTGACAGTGTCTCTTCCACTCGATCACCTGCTCTCCTTTTGCACTCTCTCACCACTCTCTTCACCTTTCTTTTACTCTCCATATACTCTGCTCTTCTTATAACACTTCTGCTTTGTAAAAACCTCTCATAAGCTAACTTTTTCTCTTTTATCACACCCTTTACTTCATCATTCCACCAATCACTCCTCTTTCCTCCTGCCCCCACCCTCCTATAACCACAAACTTCTGCCCCACATTCTAATACTGCATTTTTAAAACTCATCCAACCCTCTTCAACCCCCCACTACTCATCTTTGCACTAGCCCACCTTTCTGCCAATAATCGCTGATATGTATCTCACCCGAACTTCCTCCTCCCTTAGTTTATACACTTTCACTTCCCTCCTACTTGTTGTTGCCACCTTCCTCTTGTCCCATCTATCTCTTACTCTAACTGTAGCTACAACTAAATAATGATCTGATATATCAGTTGCCCCTCTATAAACATGTACATCCTGGAGCCTACCCATCAACCTTTTATCCACCAATACATAATCCAACAAACTACTTTCATTATGTGCTATATCATACCTTGTGGATGTGGGAATGAAATTTAAGATTACAGTCAAGGTAAAGACCTAGAAATTTACCCTCCGTGTCTTGTAATGGGGAAACAATTTATCCATATATTAAGTTGAATATTTTATGCTCTATTTCCAAACAGCATGAAGTATGTTTTGTCTATGTTGAGATGAGTTTGTTGGTCATCATCCAAGTATATATTTTTAGCAGCTTGTTGTTTATAGCGTTTCTAAGTACAGCTGGGAGTACATATAAGTAGTGTCGCCTGCAAATACAGGCGATGTATTGGGGAGATCATTGATGCAGATGAGAAAGAGAAGTGGGCCTAGGACACTACCCTGGGGCACAGCTACAGGCTGGATAGTGGAGTTGACTCCATTTGCATGTACACACTGGTGTCTATCGTTAAGATAAGATTTTAGGTAATTGAGGGAATGTCCTCTGATGCCGTAATGATTTAGTTTTAGGTGCAGGAGATTGTGGTTCACTGTATCAAATGGTTTCGGTAGGTCAATGAAGAGCCCCAGTGGATATTAATTTTTATCGAAGGCTGTATATATTAGTTGAAGCATTTGTATAATAGCATTTATACTTTTTTTTTGGTCTAAACCCAAACTGGCAGGAGTTAGGTACATTGTTGGATATAAGGTAGGAGTAAAGTCGTATGTGTATTATTTTTTCGAATAATTTAGAAAGTAAAGGCAAGTTTTATATAGGTCTATAGTTGTTCAGATCAGTTAGATCACCTCCTTTGAGGATCAGGGTAACCCTTGCTGTCTTGAGTATGGATGGGAAGGTTGAGGACTCAACAGATTTGTTAAACAGTGTTGCAATAATGAGTGACAGCACATGAGTTGCTTTCTTATATATGAATGTTGGCAAGTTATTTAGATCTCCCGCTTTGTTTTTTAATGATTTAATGATGTGCGAAACTTCAAAAGAATTAGATGGGGCAAGATACAGAGTATTTGAGCAGTTGCCAGTGAGGTAGTCTTTTGGCCGAGTATTTGAGCTTGGAATTTTGCTTGCTAGCTTTGATCTTACATTAGAGAAGAAGACATTAGGTTTGTTGGTCATGTCTAAAAGCTGTAAGTGACCTACTCTGGCAGCGGCAGCAACGGCGGCTTCCAAGCGCTTCATACTTTTCTCCAACAACCAGAGCCACCAATGCTCCTATGATGACCTAGTTGCAAGGAAAACTGCACTACCCAATGTAGCACCCAGAATGACTGAAGATTACCAACAGTGAAACCTACTAATCAAATATAATAAAGATCAAAGGAAGACTGCCCCTCAAACCCAAAGCAACGCCCCGCTGCCAGCTGAAAAACGTAACCCTAAGCTTTGTATAACTACAGCTTCTTCTTAACTACAACAACTCCTACGACTCCTGTATTACTATGAGGTGTAATCTCAGAGGAAACAGCACCAAGACCAGCAAGAAAACACTGAAAAATTGACTATTCAACAAGTTTACCCAGGGC